ATTAATTAATTCCTAGGTTACTAATCTTCCTACCAGTACACTAATTTGTTGTTTATTAATGCAAACAATGTCTGTTATTTATAGATGCTATAGTTATATCAATGAACCATTTGATTAATAGCACATTCTGGAGAATGTATAGACGTAACGGAAAACCATCTCTATTATTGTTGATATTATTGTTGATAGAATTAGCAAAGTAGCTTCAATTTAAAACTTTAATTTCAGTATAACGAAACTTCATATAGTATTTAATTAGAATAGAATTAGTATTGTATAAAATGTTTAGTATTAGTATAATATAGTGCTTGTTAGTGACTAACAAATGAGAGTGATATTACTTTAAAATTTCAATAGGTTCAATATAATTTATAAGTCTGGCATTCGTAGTGATTCATAAATATTACTTACGAACTAATGGATTATTTATAAAGATATCTTATGATAGATATTTGGTAATACTTGATACCGATGTATAGTCTACCAAAACAATTTAATTAATTAAGATATAAAAATATTTGTTGTTGCAATTTTTTACTATTCAATAAAAATAATTGTTACTATTTTTAAAAATATCATAAAAGAAATAAACTGCGTGGTTATATATTTAAACTTTACTATATATATCTCGCCTTAACTAAAATAAAGTTTACTCCTAGAATCTTCATCTAAGAATTTATCTTTGTCTAGATAAAAAATCTTCAAACTTGTTTTTAATTTAATTATAATTTTTTTCCTTTATACAATTTAGATTGTAAATTATTTTTACACGTTTCTTAACACTTGCCATACATCAACTTTAGTTCCATTTTTAATATTATTATTATTTTTTATTTGATTTTTTTTTAGAAAAAAATAAAAAAAACGCGAATAATGCTAGATTTATAAATATTTATTTATGCTTATAAATACACTGTCATTCTAACCTTGAAATATATAATAACCGCCTTAAGACAAAATTAAATTTAATTTGTATTCTTTAAAAAAAAAATATTCTTCTAAACGTTTTGAGACTTACTTTTTTAAAATGAATTTTTAATAATTTTAAATTAAAAAAAAAAATGTTTTTTTTTGTCAAGAGCTCTCAAGTTAAGTTTTTATTGTATCGTGAGAATGAAGTGTGCACTTAATGGGTACAAGTTTATCCCCGAAAGACAGATCCGGATTTTAAAATATGTATTATATAATTCAACAAATTTAAGATTGATATTATTTTTGCTTTAATATGCAAAAAAAAAAAAAATTTGATAAGCTTAAGAATATAATTAAAATTCGCACAAATTTACATAAAATTTGCAAATTTAATTCAGATGAATTTTTTATTAACAAGTTAACAATAAAAATCCGAAAACAAAAAGATTTCTAATAAATAAAACAAAAATTTATAATAGAAAGTTAATCTATGTGTAGAATTATTCAAGACATGTTTATATTCATGTTTATATTCTTTTATTAAGAATATATATGACTTTCAGTTAGTAACTGGCAGCTGATACATAGGCTTAGCTATATTGTGGTTCCCGAAATAAAATAAAATAAAATAAAATAAAATAAAATAAAATAAAATAAAATAATATAATATAAAATAAAATAAAATAAAGTAAAATAAAATGAAATGAAATAAAATAAAATAAAATGTAATAAAATAAAATGAAATAGAATAAAATAAAATAAAATAAAATAAAATAAAATAAAATAAAATAATATAAAATAAAATACATTTATGATTAAGATTTAAGATAAGAATAAATTTTTATTTTAATAAATTGTTTGGATTTTATAATTAGGAATGAAATACAATACTTCTTAAAAAATGACTTTCATGAGACATCTTATAGTACAAGATCCTTTGAGGTAAGTTTTCTTCAATCATTGTCACATAATTGCCAAAAGCTCGACAATACTTTGACATATTTACATTTTCAAAGTATCAGAAATTTAATGATTATTTATCCGCATAAATACGATTCTCTGCGTAACCCAACAAAAGAAGTCGAACAGTGACAAATCGCATAATCTTCTTAGCTATTTCACATCGTCAAAACAATTAATCCGAAAAATTTATTACAATCCAAGTCACAAGAAGCCCTGTTAGTCATAGCTTATCATATGCTCGTTATTATTATTAAGTTTTAAAAGTTTGATGATTTTAGGTATTAACAATATCCTTTACCTTACAAAATAATTACAGTAAAGAAAAATCGCAAGATCTTCTCTGAAAGTTTCTTATATAACAAAGTGAGAACTACCCCTGTTGTGTGGTTTGTGGTGCTATTTTATTGAAACTACATTTCTTTCACTTCCATATCTTTAATTGAATGATTAAAAAATAATTGTTAATCAACAGACAACAACAAAGGATTTATAACACTCCTTTTTCATTTTACAAAGTCAAATCGCAAAATCTTGGAGATCCGGCAAAACGTTAAATCATACATCTGCAAAAGTACTCACACAATAAAGCCACAAAAATCCGTGTTATATGGGTTGTGATATCGTCCTATTAAAATTATAAAATCTTTAATTTTATTCATTTATTAATTGAATTTTTGCTTGACCATTCAGCTGTTTCGAGATTTGGCAAATACCCAATTTTAGTGGTCTTTTGAAAAGACACTATCACTTCCAAGGATTAAACTTGTACCCTGCCAATTTTGAAGCTCAGAGTTAGCGTTAATTATAGAATTGACCCAAAGCCGTACTTGACATGTATATTCTAACGTAGAATATTGTTAATTTACTGTGAAAGTTTATTAACAAATTGACTTGTTATACTTTATTAGAACGCGATCATAAACCAGTTATAAATTAATTCAGTGGTTACCAATCGTTGGTCTGCTGATAATAAAAAATAGTTCAAGAATCAAATTTAACAGTTATGGATAAATAGCTTGTAATTTATCCACTGTGGCTTCACTTTTTAAGATATAAGTACAAAAAATGTCAAACTATATAAATTTCCAAGGTATATCATATACCTATTTTATAGCCTATATAATGATTTATTTACTTATACACTTCATTATACATTATACCAGAGATACATTAAGCATATTTAAATAATCACGCAGTTTATTATTCTTAAACTTTCTGGTCCTAAAAATAAAAATATCATAGTGGTCCTTGGTCAAAAACATGTTGGGAACCACTCGACTAATTGAATTAGTTAACTATCTCTCTCTTACTCTCATCTCCTAGTGGAATATAGGGCCTCGAATTAATTAACGGTAATTATTTTTAATTATTAATTGTTATTTATTTTAGCATAAAAAATTAATTTAAATATATACAGTCAAACTTTCATAACTCGAAGTACCATTTTGCAAAGTAAAAGTTCGTCTTATAGAGACTTCGAGTTAAAGAATTTTTTTCACATTGTATATAATATGCTCTCTAAACCCTGTTGTACTCTATTTAATTCGATTTATAGAAAATTCGAGTTATAGAAGTTGGAATTATGGAAGTTTGACTGTATATGAGAAAATTATGATTTATCTGACAAATTGGCATTTAGAAATAAAGTTAGTTAATTTTGCGAGAAACTAAACCAATTAAATTTCTTAAATTGAATACAAAAATAAATTTTAATCCAAGGCTACAGAATTAAAAAAATTAATATGTTTGCTATTAACTGCATTTGACTTCAACTACTAATCATTCCTTTTATGGTATATGGTCGTTTAAGTACAAAATTATGTTGTAAAAATCAACCAATAATAGAAACCAACACTAAATTCTGACTAAACTTCTTACATACACTCGTTTATCTTTTTGTTTTACCTATTGAACCGTTTGGATTAATTAACCATAAATTCAACTTCAGACCAAAACAAAAACATTTGTTACTTTTTCTTAAAATATTCCAACCTAGACAACCTTGAAAATAATTTAACAAAGTATCTCCAAGCACGACTTAGATGGTTGCTAACACTATTGCAGCAACAACAGAAGCTCAGAAAAATTAAAATAAATTCATTAAAAATTCTAAATTATAGAAATTAAGCCACACATGAGAACCTCATGGATTTTAAGCAGCAAAATCAAAAGTTTTGCTTAATTTTTATCTAACTTTTAATAATCAAATTGAAATAGAAAACAAAATCCTATATGTGCTTCTGTTGAGATGTAGAATTCTTCTACGTCAACGTTCTCTGGCTCTCCTTGAACTATTTTTCCACAGCAATTTCAAGAACCTGTCTAAAGCTAAAGAGATTTACACTTTATTATTTAAGAATTTTTACAAAGAAAAAAAGAATAAAATTAACATAAAAACATAAAATAAATGTTTTTATGAGAATGATTACAAAATTACAACAAAAAACAACAAAAATATTGAACAGGCAAAATTTACAAAATTCAATTTTGCTTAATTCAAATTTGTTACAATAATGTCGACTTATATGCAAATCCACGACTAACGCTGGGTTTTAACGACTTTTTTGTGGATTAATAACTTCATTTTATATCATTTTGAACGGTTTACGAGCAGTTAATGACGTTGCAGAAATAAAATTAAAATTAAAATTCAAAAAATTTAAGTGTTAAACGTTGCAAGTTGCAAGTTTATGAGCCATTGCCCATAGGCAATCGCTCATTGATGACTCACAATTTTTCGCAAACTTCCATTACAAATTAAAATCTTAAATGTTATTTAACTAATATTTAAAGATTGCAGTATTTCCATCATACATAAATTGTTTTTTTTTCTACTTAGATAAAATTTTATTCTAAACCGAGTAAAATTACTTTACCTTCAACTATTTTCAGCAACTGTTAGACAAGTGTGTCCAAAACCTAACTGCTTGAGAAACCAACAATATAAGGTAGCAGAACGATTAGTCTAATTGTTGGTACTAAATTAGTCAGAAAATCTTTTTACTTTGAAAAACTACTAACCACAAAATTACAATAGTTCGCTCTTATTTTTTTTTAGTAAAAAAAAATTTAAGATAAATATTAAAACTGACAGGCTTACCAACACCGCGTTATCGAATCTCAGAATGGTTATAGGCTACTCGGTGAGATATGCAGATCTGCGATCAATTATTGCTCAGTCTGATGAAGAGATAAACAATAATCCAGTTAAGGCATACAGAGGAGTTATGAAGAAACCTCGCAGTTAATAGGGAGTAAAACTACTCAAGTGCACTGACTTAAATAACCTCAACATAATAATAATTAGTACAAACACACCCAACATATCGACACCAGTACATATGATCATTTAAAATTTTAATATGCTCTTTAAACTATAGTGACTAAAGGATATTGTAATCATCAGTGAAAAAATTAAAACAGAACGATATGTTTATTTTAGAAAGAAACTTTTTCATGATTTCATTTCATTCAGTCAGTGATTATGTGATATCAGTGATATGATATGGAAATATTATATGGAAATATCATATTAATTGTATTAGGGACACATTTGCAACTGGAAATCTTATTTGACTTCTAGTTGATGTTTGTGCTATGCTATAAAATAAAATTTTTTTATACAAACACATTCTACCTACACATGTGGAACTACACGGAACAGATATGGAGTACTATCGAGAGTTCAAACTTCTAGTTGTTTCAATCAAAGACTCTAAAATTAACAATATTATCTCATCGCATACTATTCATAAAGAATCGACGATATGATGTGCAGTACAAATATGGAAAACCACTAAGAATTCAAATATATAACAGTTTCAATCAAAGAGGCCAAAATTAACAAGATTATTTCATCACATACTATTTACAAAGAATCGACGATGTGCTATGCAGTACAACTATGGAGTACTATTAGGAATTCAAACACCCAGCGGTTTCAATCAAAGGCGCTCAAATTAATAATCAGGATAAGACTCTAAGATTAATATTTAAGGCAGTCTGGTTTATTTCATCCCATACTATTCACAAAGAATCGATAATATACCATGCAGTACAAATGTGGGTACTACCAAGAATTCAAATATATGACATTTTAAATCAAAGACTCTAAGATTAATAGTCAAGGCAAAATTATTGGGTTAATATTTAGGAGTAAAATGGCTTGACAAGAATCAATGAGCATAAACTTAACATACCATAGGTATATACTCAGTGAATGAACTCAGTTTAGTAGTGCAATATTTTCATATGCAGCGCGATAATATCAAAGTCAATGTTTTAATTAAAGGTTAGTTTTAGTAAATATTAGTTACAAGTTATTTAAATAAAGCATATAATGAAGTAATTAATATAACAAGATAATTAAATAGAAACTTTTGTTTAAATTTATATTGGCTGTCTTTCATTTATAGAGAATTGCAGTCAGAAGGAATTCTTGTCAAGTACTTAATGTAAACTTAATAATTTTTATAACAATTAAAAACTTGCATTATTTTTAAATATCTAGCAGTTCTATGTATTATATTTGCTATAATTATTATAATGAATATAAAAACATATAAAATTTATATATACGACTATCGTCATACATCAAATTTGAAAATATCATGTGTACTGCATAAAATCTTAATTAATTTTTAAAAACCAACAAAAAAACTAAACAATTTTGAAATGCAGAATTAACACATAGAAATGCAAATTAAACATTAAATTAAATTCTTTGCAGTTAAAAAATTTAATTTATTGTTCATTTTACTCAAGAACAATTTTAATTTATAGTTGTGAAGTTAAGAAAAAAAACAAGTTGCATACATAAAATGTCAATAAAATTAAGCGGAGTAATTGACCGATTGATCAATTCTCAAATACATATTTAGTAATTATTTAATTGATTTATTTTGCATTAATCATTACATGCTTAAACTGGGACAATGCCTTGCTTAATGGCTTTACATATACTAACTGATTCTTCGAGTTCTAAACTGCATAATCGGTGGTTATAATATCATATATCATTTCATCACAGCATTTATTTTGTACACTCATGAATTCATTTCAAAAATAATAGAAATTTTAATACAATATTTTCATAAAAGTACTATATAGTATATATAAATATATACTAAGAAATTTTTACTAAGAAGTTTTAATTAAATTAAATCAATTAATTAAAACTAACTTCATATCTTATATCAAATAAACCAAACGATTTAAAAAGCAACACAAAATGAGATAAAATTGAGAAAGTGGAAGTGAATAGACCATACGCTTAGACAACTGAGAGATTACATAGCAAGGCAAGCATTGGCATGGAGTCCACAAGATAGCAAAAGACCTGGGGCGCCAGCGAAAACGTGGGGAAGAACAACCGAAAGTAAACTAGCTGAAGTACGATATACATTGAACGACATCTACAGAGAATAGGGAGAAAAGGACAGAGAGGAATAGAAATAGAGAACATCATCATTAATGCAATATACAGTAAATAGGGTAAACACCTATCAATATAATTTTATTATTATTAAAAAACATAAAATGTTGATATATAAGTGAAAGATTTATGAATAATTAATAAATAATATAATTCGCATATAAAACAATTGTTTTTCTTCTGAATAGTTTAAGTAGTATTAAAAAGTGAGGTTAGTGGGTTTCAGTTATTGCCTGTTGAGCAATAACGATGTTTGATCTTCTGAGCAATGCCTCATTTAGCCCCATTTGTAATTCAGATGAGCAAGATTCTTCTTAGATATTGATTTATAAAAGTTTAAAATCTTCCATGTCCATCGAAACTTTGATATTAAATTTGGGTTGTTTTCTGAAGATGGGTATATGACCACAATTCTTTTAGGTTAGATAAAAGCTTTTCTGCTTTGATTTTTATAATTTATAATGCTTTCAAGGTATTTTATTGTATTTTCATATACTAGTTTCTAAGCTTTTATTCTTATGTAACATACGTGGTAGATGCAGTCCCATAACTACTATTGGTCATGATTTTACTTTTACCTCTACTTATTTTCGAACCTACTTATTATACATAAGCAGACCGTCTGATAAGCAGAACATACCTATGAAAGTCTAAAAAGCCATTAAAAATTGGTTTAAACCGGTTTTACAATATATTTTGTTGTCTCGTCGTGATTTTTTTTTTTACTGAACTTCATTATATCTTTTAGATCCAAGAAGCATTTTCAACTTCTCTCGTTGGCAGTTGCACCTGAAAAACTGAACTAGACTTGGTGAATTTCCTTGAATAAACATCTTTGTCAATGTAATTCTGTACAAAATCATTGAGACGATATTGAATTAAATTAATTTTCACTATTATCTTTTAAGAATTTTTAAATTATTATAATTAAATTTCTAATTAATATTAAATAGTTAACAACAAATATTGGAATGTGAAAACAACATCTGGTGATTATCACATAAAAACTAATATAATAAAATCGAAGGTGTGATATTTTTGAAAATATATTTTTATTCATAAATTTTATTTTATTGTTAGAGTTTCATAATACCATATGCGGAAATAAATATCAAACAAAAAGTATCTTAAAGTTTAAAAAAAAATCAAAACGGTATAACATATTTAACTGTATCCGTAAACCAGTTTCTTTTAATTGAAATATGCAACCGAAGAGCCAAAAAAACTTTGAATGGAAAATAAATGGAATTTTTTGTAAGGTAAAAATATTTTACATTGTTCAAGAATACTTCCGATTTATAGAAGATTTATAGATATCGGCTATTTATTAAGAAGTAGCTAAGTGGATTTGTTTATATGTCTGCCAATCAGATTTCTGAGAACATAAATTTAAAAAAAAACCAACAAAATTTATTCAAATTAATTTAATACTCTGAGCTTAATTATAATGACTTTTTAATATTAAAATTTTTGTTAGAAGTGCCCAATCACGATTTTATATGTATGCTCAAGTATCCGACGACAATTTATCTATCGACTGCCTTAATCGATTCGATAGGTAAATTTCGTTTTTGGAAATCAATATAAGATATTTTGTCTATTCATTGTAGAAGAGTTAATATTACATTAGAAAATTGACAGCAACAACAACAAATAACTAAAAAATATTTTATAATTTAGTGTAATTAAATTTTAATTTATGTAATTGATAAAATGTGGGAATTGGGAAAATAATGGCTTTGTTAATGTTTAATGGTTTTCAGTCATGCTTTTCTCAACAATAGTTTTTCAATTAATATTTTAAGAATATTTCTTTACTAATATTTTTTTTCAAATATTCTTAATTATCCATTCATTATCATAAAAATCATCTATAATATA